TTTATGACCACTTTTCAAATAAGTAAAGTGTCCTTTATAATAACTGGATTGCCTTTGTGTTTGCCAATTGCACAAGGGAAAATAAAGGTAACTGCTGTCCATACTAGTTCCATGACTCTTCGGTCACAATAGTTTATGGACAGCTGGAGGAAAATGCACAATCCTGTGTTTAGAGGAATAACAGCAGAGCAGACCAGAATCAAAAACCTGTCTACATGTGAAGCACGATGGATGGAGAAATAAAGTTTGAGGCTGCTTTGAATTATGAAGAAAGAATTTCAAATTGTATCAGATTTTGAATAGGAGCAGCAGTCCATGACCTGAGGATTGTGCGCGGTTGGCTGATGCAACAAGACAGTTTTGGTGTTGCAATCATCATATCCGAAATCTGAATTGTAATTGTACGATTTGTGCAGGACTTTATTCTGTGCACTTAAAACACATCCGCAGCTACAGCCAATTTAGAAGCATCAGTGACGTAATATCTATAATGAGTTTTCCATAACTGCTGTAGCCACCCACACTTTAACAAATTGTGCCTATCTTTTCAAGTTGAAGGACCTACAGTCACCTCGGTTGTCAGTTTAACTGATTGCAATCCAGATAGACTAAATGCCTTCATATCTGCCAGACACCACATATTACTCTGACAAGAGTCGCTCAGTCAGTATAATGTCCTTGATTATTGATTAACAATCTTGAGTATTTACAGTGCGCACACTTGTGCTGTGCAACCACATGGTGAGCTCAGCATGCGACAAGATGGTCCTATTTCATTTGAGACATCCTGTTAATGTGGAAGCTGCGGTTGTTTACAGCCTGGCTAATTAAGCTGTTTCTCACTGCGGTCGGATTTCGATACAGTTGTGCACACTGATAATTCCCAGTGTGACCATGTGTCCAGCCCAAAAGAAAGCAGTATGTTTGTGTCATGTAACATACAGGGTACTGTGTGTACCTTTGGAGGGGTTAATTGGAAATAAAGAGGCCAAGTCTAACATTCCCGGTTTGATTTAATTGTAACTGCCATCCGTCTAAGCTTAAGCCAATTAACTTAGAGGTTACTCAACCTCATACTGGGAAGCACATTTTCTGAATTATCACTGCTGGCCAGTACATGACTCTTCACCAGTCCACGTTCCAGATTCTAGGCAGTTTAAATGATGGCGGTCATCCAGATGATTAAGATATCTCAGTGAATCTAAGCTACTCTGTGGATGTACGCTCGCGATTACATCTTATCTGAAAAAGCTGGAGAATGGACTGTTCTACATTTTCCATGAAATGTGATTAGAGGTTCAAAGTGTTTGAGAATACGAGGCAGTTTATTTAGAGTGACAGAAAAATAAAAAACTAGTACCAGTGAAAAATACCCACCCTCCTCCTACAAAAAAAAGAAAAAACTGTGGTTTTATTCATAAAAAAAGAGGCTTAATGTTAAAATAAATTATATGTGTAGACTGAAATTAGTATGAAATGTGATCATGACAGACGTAATACTTTCCGAGAGGGTAAACCGATGGACTTTGGTGCCTAATTACTTCCCTGAGATCTCTTTCTTTGAGCTTCTCATCAATGCTTCAGATATATCTGTGAATATTTAACAGAGTGCTGTGCAATGCCGGAGCCTCTGCTCCCTCTATCAGGGGTTTATAAGATAAGCCGTCTGAACCCATTGCCTTATCGCTAAACCTCATTCTTTATGGCTCTGTAACTAGTATGGCTACATTACAGTCAGCGCATCTGACCTAAAAGAGGAAGAATTTCCCTTCTAAAAGAATCAGAGATATAAAAGAATTGAATGATTCTATTTATTACAGTGTCCACAATTGAAATAAAAGGCAAAAAAGAGAGCGATATTTCACTCTTGTTGCTCCATGCGTGGCAAATTATATCAGTTAGGTATCGTCCAGTTTTTTTACTTTTATGTAGGACATGCTGTATAATTTGTCAACCCACTGATTCCATGCTTATGTAAACTCCGAGGCTCTTTCATTAAATATTTTCCATAGATTATGACTATTAATCACAGATGTAGGAGGCCATTAACACCAGACTCTCCTTATGTGCCACCACAATAGCTTAGATGATTAATAATTGAGTTAAGCTGGCATACCATGAAATGCTTCACTTTTTTAAATGCCATATGGTGATTTGAACTGAGTCCCTTTTGAGCAGATACGAGTGTCCAGGAGGTGTGGTTTACCGCTGACAATGTGCCTTTTTTTTCTCTATTGCACAATGTACAAGCGTTGCTTCACGTATGCAGTGAAAAGTCATGCAGCCTGCACTGCAACTCAGGCACAGGGCTGCAGGAATAATAACATTTTTAACACACAGTAGTGATTCCAAACCTTTGAAAGATTTTTGAAACAAGAATCTTTCTGGTTTCTACTTGTAGCCACAACAAGTGGTAAGTTACAGATGAAGTACATTTGCAGAGAAGCAATTTCAAAACACTTTTTACCGATCGACAATTATTCCAATTTTGGTTATATTTAAGTTAATGTGCAGCACTGTGCAAAAGTGGTCTTGTGCAATGGTTCTCCATGTTTTCTGGATGCCTTTCAGAGTTTTCAAAGTTTTCCTTTGGACATGGTTCCATTCTCAGAGAAATGCCCTTTTTGTTGTTTGTTTTTTAAGCTACTTAACTCTGACCTATGTCACAAACACTCATATTTTGTTCCCATTTCATCAGTTGAGTCTATGACATATGGCAACAATAAGACAGTTTGACAGGTGTAAAAAAGTATTTGTTCACCAACAAGGTGATTCCCAAAGTGCTTTTAGCTGAAGACTTGACAGATCTTGATATGGTGTGCCACGCGGCATAAAAAAATTTGAGGAAACTGGACAATTTTGTCCAGGTGTAAAAAACTATCTACAGCAGAAAAATGAAAAAAATATATATTCATATACTGTATTTCCATATCTAAATATACAGGTTCATAGGTTGGGTTTGATTAGTATTTGTATAATCTTTAGAAAATTACTATTACATCAATATTGAACACTAATGTTTTATTTTAAAATGCATCAGTCCCAGAAATGCATCTGCCTGTTTATTTTCTACTGCTTATTTAGGAGCCTGGGTCATCGGGTTGAACAGTCAAGACGAAGGTTCCCAGACCATCCTGTCGTCCAACCTCAATGTTTCCCTCTGGGAGACAAAAAAAGCATTAAAAGCCAGCTATGAGACGTATACTCCCTAGTGTCTTCTGGGTCTGTCCTCAGGTCTCCGTCCTGAAGGAAACACTACACCTAGTAGGCATCCTTGTTATGCTACGCCTTCAAGCTCAGCTCTGTCTGACCACCACCCACACTACTACTACTATCATTCGCCACCCGTGTCTGGGCACTTCACTGTTTCCCAGATCAAACCTTTGACCTCACGCTTGGAGATGCATGGCCACTTTATATTCAAATGCAAGACATCCCACATCCAGCTGGAGGCAATTGCTGGATGAAACCTAAAGGACTACTTCCTCTGCAAGCATTTTCAGTCTATTAATAAAATCGTGAACTAACACCATCAACTCAAAGTCAACATATTCAGTTCTACTCAGGTACTACAATCAAGAATATGATTTGATATGCTAAATATACAGTTTCATGAATTTCTGAAACAAAATGCAAAGTCACTGGAAACAACATTTTCCCCTAAAATGTCAACGAGGCCATCTTTCAGCATTTCTGTAAACCTCCATGGTAATTTTCCACTAGCTAGTACATGTGCTAACAGATATAATCTATTGAAAAAGTTCCAAACTGACAGTGTGTTCTGCTTTCTACATCTGGTATGACAGTCATGCTCACCAAGTTTAGGCCTTTCAAACATCAAAAGCATTTCACAACACTGGCTGTCAGTCAGCAAAAACTGGTTTGTACACCAGTAAATGTCTGTAATGCACCACTATGCTGGGGGAAAACCTCAAACCTGTTCAGAGATCTGAATCTATGATGCTGGAAGATCAGCTGTATCAAAACTTAGCAGAAGTCAGTTTTGCAAAGTTACTTGGAAGTATCTTATCGTTCTTATAGGTGCTTCCAAGTAGTTAATATACTTTATAGTGTTCTCATATTATAGTTGTTATAATATAGGAACTCGTGAAATTCTCTATAGTAAGGCACCCCCTGGATCTCCTTTATGAAAATGAAAGGTGATAAGACCAACCCATAAATCGCAGGGATACTTCAGCACAGATCATTCAAATGTAACTGAATTTTCAACCACAGGCTCTTAACCCCACAGGTGAACTCTGAACAATATGATGCTGTAATAAAGTCTGCTTCTTGTCCACGTATTGCCTCTCTAAACCAAGATTAAAAGATATATTAACTGTATCAAAGTGCGTTCAGGGATTGCTATAGTTAGGTCTGTTACATTGCTAGGATAATCACTGAATTCATTTTCCTTTGGATCAGCCCTTCCCCTTGACCTCATTTTCCATCAAAATCAAGGTCAAGGAGGTAGGCTGTCACTTTTGGAGTGTTCAACACTGCATTAAACTCATGTTTAGCCTAGCATGTTTTGGATGCCGATTCTAGCAGTAATTATATACGAATGTTCCTTTACAGTTAAATGGCTTTCCTGCAGCAACTGCACCACTATTTGTGGAGGAATGTGTTTCAGATCTAGTAGTGGGAATTTCCATGTATTGATATGGCAAAGGATTTGTGATTTCCATGAATTTAAAGTTAATTGCTGTATTATCACAGACAGATGTGTAGATGTTATTGCCAACATTCAATAATAGACCGACTTCATCTTGTTTTAACATCAGTTTACCAAATCTGCAGCACTAATCCCCGTTTTTGAAGCAACTGTTTCAAAGCAATAAGTTCACTGCAGTAATTGTAGTTGTCAACCACCCTCTTAAGCTACAGTTACTCTAGTTAAGAGAATAGAATCAGTTACATACTGTCGGTTTGGCCAAAACTGCCAACAGAGCAACACCACTAACGTGAACTTATTTTACTCATCTGTCAAAACAAAGCCATTGTTTTGTAAAAAGAAGAGTTTTATTTCATTTTTAACAAAGCCCAATACAGAGTCAAAGCAAAACTGGGGAACACTGGCAATCTCAATCCAATCGTTTTTGGGACGCCAACACCTAAGAGGAGCTTCAAATAAAAAGGACAACAATAAAAACAACAATACTACCCAGAAATGGGGTAAAGAAATAATGGTGCATGTTGTCAAACTTAAGAAAAATTGACAAAGGGAATCAAAATGTTCATGCCAGCAGCTGCTGAGGATCTAAATGTCAAATATGAGACACACCTGTTAACAGCTTTGGAGGAAGGGAGGGGAAGAAAAAAGGAAAAAGACAATTCCTATAAATGTGTTACATTTAAAGTTGTGAATGAGTAATTTGGTCAAATGTGTTAAACTAGTCTGTGTGTAAATAACGAAAATTGTGAATTAAAACTAAGCTTTCCTCCGTGGTTTGTACATGTAGACTGTTCCCAAGAGAACAAGTTGTGTCCAAGATGGAAATTAAAGTAAAGTGTCACGCCAACAAAAAACGGGAAAACTATCAAAATCAGATTCTGTTAATGTCTCTACAACTAGTTTTCTACAGATACGTTCAACAGGTTCACCTGACAGCTGTGATGACATGTTGAAGGGTTACAAAATATATTGTGAGTAATACAGTTTGTGATTTTTCACGTCATAGTTTACGTGGTCTGGCGCACTTGTATCGTGGACTTGTAAAAGCCAAATTTAGGGTGTGGGAATAGAGCACGTGGCTCTTTGTTTTCCTTCTTTTAGGGGTTATGAAATATTATGTTACCATCTGAAATGAGCCGATCCACCCATGTAAACACAGTGATTTTCTGATACAGAAAAAATAGTAAGTGTACAATGCATATTGATCTTTAATAGCAATATCCACCAGTTGAAAACACCAGTCTGCTTTGATATATTCTCATATGGGAACAAATATATTTTATAACAAAATAAATCTATACTGTTGTTTCTGTGATGGTAGATAAGGGTTGTACAATCCCATCAGCCTGACCTTCTTTGTCCGTTTTAACAAAGAACTGCATGTAGGCTTAGCTCTGTCGGAAATAGTACTTGTGACTAAAGCAGCTCAAATACTCAAAAGGCTCTGCCTGAGAAGAAAACATTAGTTTGAAGCCAAAAAAAAAAAAAACTTTCATCTGTATACCAGTTGTTAAAGTAATTTATAATAAAGTATGTTTCTATCATCTTTAAAAATCATAAGCATTTTTTTTAAACTGTATCTTGGCATTTTGACAAAATATCCTCTTGGATATTTACACAGGAACAAAAAATACTTTTCAAGCACTAAACCAAGCTTATATTGTGGGTTTGCAACAGAATAAAACAATTCTGAAATAAAAATGGAGAAAGGTTTGCATAGCAGATCAGGATACAACTAAAGAGGAACAAATCCTTTTTGGTATGAGTCATGACTGCACATTTTCACATATGTACATGAAAGAATAGTCCATTCATAGTTTCTCCCTGCCCACAGTTCAAATCAAGTTTACGTATGCACTGTAATGCTCATCAGTGAGAAGGCAGAATGTGGGTACTTGTCCTCTCTGCTCTTCTAATAAAAGTCCATAGGAGTTTCTTTTCTTTTTTTTTTCAAACAAAAAAAAAATTAAAAAAATGAAACTTTGTTTTGTTTTTTAAAAAGTGCCATTTTGCTACATTTGTCAGCTGATCCATGGTCTGCTACTGAACAGTTAATACAAGCAAAGTGTTACACAGCCCTCCAATATCACAGAGTTTCCTGATTCTATGAGATTTGGTCACATGGACAGTCTCGCACACACACACACACACACACGCACACAGACACACACAACAGGGGAAGAAGGGGAAAAAGGAAAAACAAAATTTGTAGCCGGTGAGTTCTGTTGCGATTTGATAATCCAGCTGGTAAAGCTTTTGGGAACAGGGGGAAAAAACAAAACAAAAACAAGCACCATAAGGAGAAGGCCTCAAATGTCCTCCGCTGGGCGAGTTCAGCAGTGTTCGCTCGATTCTGTGCTCCCACAAAAAGCAAAAAGGGAAAAAAAAAATCTACATTCAGACTCGCCTCAGGCTCATGGTTTAGGCAAAGTCACTGAAATGTTTCAGGCTTTGTTGTGTCTTTTCCTCCAACTTCAAGTCCGAGTCCGGCTATCGAAGCCTTAATCATGGTGGTCGAAACATGTCTCCAACTTCCATGGGGCCTTAATCGTCAATATGGATACGTCCGGGTCCTCATCGTCTCTGTTGAGCGTACACAGGGTACGCTAGTGTCACATTCAGAGAGTCATTGTGCTGGACCAAAGACGTGTGCTGGTAGTGAAGAACGAGTTCTTTTAATGAGTTGTACAGGTTATAAGGTTCAGCGAAGCCGTACCCTGTGGGGGTCTTGTTGATGACGCAGTGTTTCACCTCGCCGTCCACACTGCAAAGAGAGGACAGGAGTCACAACCTGCTCTGTGATGGTCTCCATCAACTTTAAAACTAGTTCATTCAGTGGTGGCTGAAGCCGTAACAGCAGGTAGACATTTCAACACTAAAACTACAATTCTTTGCTACGTAATAGCCAGATACATACACCACACTGCAGGCGTAGCATCCCGCTTTGCTGCTGTCTCGAACCAGGAATGTTCCGTCTCTCTTGCCCTGGAGGATCGCCTCCGCCTGTAATCGATTGATGTTGCCCAGCTTCCAGGTCCGCTCATCATGATGAGGAAGGTCTTCATCATCGTCCACCATAGAATATTGACTAAAAACACAAAACAAATATAAGTTGTCATGAAAAACGCACATTTTTTTTGTCCAGCGAGTGGATGATTGACACTCGCTAACTTACTCTTCTGTGCTCTCGTTCTTGATTCCCAGCCACTCGTTGAGTTTTTTCTGCCTGACTCCCTTCTGGGTCAACCACCTACAAAGAGAAAAGTCATGGACATTAGAAAGCAGGACAGACCAATTTTGATTTCCCTCAGAGGGAAGACTAGTTTCCGATGTAGCCAGGATGCTGTTCAGGCATTGCACTTACATGAGATACTGGTCTCTGGTCTTGCGGAGCTGGATGAGGTCAGGCTTGATGCTGTTCATCCTCTTGTCGATCTCCCTGTAGTCTGCTGCCTGTTTCTTCAAGTCTTCTTCCAGCCTGCGCTTGCTGTCTACTATTTCACTAATCCTCGATTTCAACTTCTCGTAATTTCCCATGATCCTGGAAGGAGAGGAAAAAAAGGATGAGTTCTGAGCAGAGCAAGCATTTTGTTATCAGCTGATGCACAACAAAGTGTGGTCTGTTCTTACCTCTGAATCTCTTTTTCATTGCCTTCTCTCCTGAATTTCTCAATATACTCCTTGCTGTAGCGCTCTTGTGTTTGGCATTGCTCCTCGAATATTTTGATAGTTTCATTGAAAGCCTCTATCGCCGTCCTTTTCATTTGGATTTCCTGCGAGCAGAAGCACAGTGTTAAGCACTTGACCTACAAACACTGCAGTAACACTCTTGATGCTAGGTGTGGGATGGTACTCACTTGTGATGTTCTGGTGTACTCTTCATAGAGACGGTCGTACTCTTTGTTCTTTTCTTGGTATTGCTGGTGGTACTCGCAGAGCTTCCTGCCCACAGCTTCGATGTTGTCCTCTTTTACCACTTGATCCTGAAGAAAGAGTCACAGTCAAATGCAGAAAAAGTTGAGGTTCAACTGCTTTAAACACACAGGTGTTTTAATTCTGCTGGGATGCACTGAGTTGCCACCTCACCTGCTGGTGTTTAGACACGGGGTACAGCAGCTTGACGTCTAGCTTGGGGTTGTACTGAGCCAGGGACTCGTTGCGATAGTGGTTGATGAGCTCGACGACTGAGTTGAAGGTTAGTGGATCAGAGAAGCCATATTTGCCATCTCGATGGAATATCTTGATAAGCTTGTTGTTTCCTCCTTTCCTGTAGACGAAACAGCAGCGGCGGTTAAACCAACAGGTCACTAACTACAAATAGATAAACAGTCAATTTGAGGAAACAGAGGACAAGACACTTACCTCAAAGTCAGAGTGTAGTCTCCGTGCATTTTTGTAGAGGCGTCCCGCACCAAAAACGTACCATCTGCAGTGTCCCTCAGTTTCTCATTGACCTCCTCCCTTGAGATGTCTCCCCAGTACCATTCAGCATCTTGTAGCGCCATGTTGTTGTTCATACCGTTGTTAATCACAGATGTGGGCTTGGGTGGCTTTGGAGGTAGAGCTGCAGGAAAAGGCAGAGAACACAGAACGTAAATAAATCGACTACAATGCGATTAGGCTTATGAGTGTTTGTGTTAAAATAAAGCCGACTCAGAGCTCGAGATCTGGACATTTTAAGGCAGACTTTTAGGGGAACACTTGCACTGCCTTTAAAATGTTTACTTGATCTTCTTGTAAGTAAATAATTAAAAATTAAAAAAACTTTGCTCTTTGAATTTAGGCACATGTAGGCACACATGCTCGCTCTCATGTATTCTATTCCATGAATAGGGTTGTGGGGAAAGGAAGGGAAAAAAAAAAAAAGGCTTCCCATGTCCAACAGAGAGGCAGCATTGGTGAGGCAGTGGGAGGAGAACTGAAGCGTGAGTCAGGGAGAATGAATTTCATTCAAGAAATGGAGCCATCTATAAATATTTCCAGCTCCTAACGCAGCAGTGAAGCCTTTTTCATGCAGGGGAAAAAAAAAAATGCGGAGAGAACAGCAGAAAAAGATGGCTGCACAACATTTTACAGTAAAATAGGACAGACTGAAATCCTAATGACCCTTTAAGCCTTTACCAGCAGGAAAGGCTGCGCTTTAACGCAGGATAACCAGATTCTCTTCTACCATCAGTAAATCAATTAAACTCTTAAAGCTGGAGCTCACCGTGAAGCTACCAGTAGCAGAGATAAGGCAGTCGGCTATTTTTAAACCCCACAAATCTGCACTGCCGTTGTTCGCTGCCACTGCATTCACAACCCTCCTGCTGCAATGGACCTTGCAGAACTTTGCACGCTGAAACCACAAGCACTGTGCACACAGCTACAACCGTGACATAGATTTCAAATGTTTCCATTCTGCGCAAATGCAACCTACCAATCCGACCACAGCGCTTCTCTGCATACTGCCTGCCTTCCAACCTGATCACACTTTGTCTCCAGATTACTAGAAATTTCTAACTCGTGTGAAGAAACCAGGCTTCTAAAACCAGAGCCAAACACCTCCACAGACAGACAACTTGCGCTGATCCAATCTCATCTCTGCTCCACACAAATACTTTATTACAGCCACTTAAACAAATACTTGAAAAGCCATTAAGGGCAGCTTGCTCAGTAACGTGTTACATCACTTACCACAGCCAATCACACAGGGGGTCTGTCACCAACCGCTCCTGCATCTTTCATTTCCTGTGAGCGATGAGGTCATTGTAAAAGTGTCGCCTTTTTAGTACACTCTAAATAGATAACTGAAACGATTGCGTCTCTGCATCAACCAGCACTGCGTCCCGGTGTGCATCCATCTGCGAAAGCAAACGCGCCGCATCTCTCTGCTAGCAGAGGAGAGAGAAAGGACCTGCTCCCTGTTCCATGCTTCTCCTCTGTCATCCTCTCGCTCTCTGTTCAGCTTGTCCACTTGCTCCCCTGCAGGTTACTCAGCCCCTCCTCCCCGCGAGTGTCGTGCGGACATTTAGTCCGTCCCACTGCTGGCACTCGTAAAGCCTACTCTGCTGCAGCAGCACGTACGCAGCTAAATTATAATGCCTGGCCCGGTCAGCGGCACCCAGAGCTCCAAAATACGTCTGTAATCCCACAGCGTGACGCTCAGCACGACAGGGATAGCTCCCTTGATTTCCTGAGTGAAATTAAAATAGCCCCAGTTCTTGGTAAAGGTAGAAGATTCAAGTGAAAGCAATCATTGTCCTTAGTTCAATTGAGGGACAGTTGGTGGAAATTTTAGACGCTTAAGTTATATAGTTCACATCAACTACAAATGAGGAAAAAAGAACAGGTTTTAATGTTTGAGTAAGACCTAAGTGAACAAACCTGTTCCACCGCACTTTGATAGAAAAAAAAAAAAATTCCCAAAGATACAACAGTGGATTTAAAAAGACTTTAACATCAACTAGCCATTGTCCACCATAGCTATAAACTACTTAAATGTTCAAGAGCCTCTTTTGTCTGATCTTAATGCAGAGGTTCATGAGCACTCTCCAAGTATGGCCCATAACTCATAAGCATGAGCAGTTGCCCGAGGCAAGTTTGCTGCTAGCAAAGATTGAAGTCTTACTAAAACACAAACCTATAATTCCTGTTCTGTCTTTTCTAAGCTGTGACATTTGTGTCTTAATCTTACGCATGTGGCCCATTTCGTTCCCTGAAGGGAAACGCAGCAGAACACACAATGTTCCACTTTTGACACCTTTATAAGACAAGACCTGAAACATCAAACTTACGTTGCAAGTTGTGCATGTCTCGAGGAATCAGTTCTCTCTTCTTTGCAGCTTCTCTTTTATTCCCAAACAATAAAGTAAATCCAACAGAGTTAGTTTCAAGTCCTTCTGTAAAGCTCCATTTCATAGTTTAGACCAGTGAGTACATGGACGTGGTCTGTTTTAATTCTTAAAAGGTCACGGCTTTGTGTGCCTCTTAATGAAATCCAGGTAATCCGCTCGACGTGAAGCAGGTGCCGCATGCGACTGTCTCACTGACTGACTGCTCAGTTCCTGCTGAAGGTGCGGTAAAGGGCTGAGTCTCTCTGTCTTTCCCTTTCTGAGCCCTGTGAGGCGGAGGCCTGCTCACGTGTAGTCACAAAGTTAATGATTAGCAGGAGCCGCTCCAGTGTCGATGCAGCCTGTTCTGAAAGCAGCCACTTGTGCCAGCTGCGTTGGTTTGTGTGTCTCTCTATGCTCTTTGGTCACTCCCTCTTTCTGTTTGTAAAGGCGGAGGCGGAGGCTTGGGGGTGGGGAAGGAGGGGGGCAGTCTTATGATTAACTTGCAAAGTTTCAAATATTTGCTGAGTTGAGCACTTTGAGACAGGGAGGACATGTGGACATCCACTGAAGGGGGAGGCAAGTGGCCCTAGAACTACAAGCAGCCCTGAGTTAACAAGAAGTGCTCTGTGGAGCAGGCCGACTTTCCAGCCAACCAAATCTAAGTGGGCCTTTTGTCGCTTACTTAAAATAGGAACGCAGTAACTGGGAGGAGGCACACACACGCGCGCATACAGGTCATTCACAGAAATGCATGCATGTTCCGTACATGTGTGTTTAGAAAGTAGGTTATTTACCCGTACTATTTGCATTAGACAGGTGACTGAAACCAGTCTGGCCTGACTAAACATTGCCATGTGTTACACTGGGTACAGTCTTTATGGGTATGTGCAGAACCAACAAAAAGCATTTCAGGGTTTCTCTCTTGCCTGCCCGACTATTCAGTCAGCCATCCATCAAGCCTACAGCCAAAGAGCTCCCTGCAGGTGCAAATCACTGACAGCTGAGAGCAGACCATGCACAGGAGCGTTATAAATAGTCCTAACAGGTAATAAAAAGTTTAAGCAGCCACAGTCAGTGCTGGGCCTCTGGGCCAGCCAATGACACCGCTCCCAACTAGAGCTGTAAAAACAGAACTGCCATGCAATGCTCTGCTGTCTCAAATCACCAGACCAGCTTTGTCTGTATGCAGTCCACTGCAGTAACATGAACAAAACCAGACTTGCACGAATCTGTCATCTATACCGTTGGAGGCACATGCTACATAACAGCAAAAGCCAGAGGAGAGACGAAAAAATAAATAAAAATGTGCTCCAAGAACAACCCAGAATCTTACTGAAGATTTTACATCACATGCAAATTCCCTAATTTTCATATTCATGAGGCTGACAAAAATAAAGCTAGACAGAGAAATACTGTTCTAACACAAGTTGCTACTTTGTAGTCATTAAATTCCAGTGAGAACCTTTTACATAATACCATTTCATTGCATAAAAAAAGCATTTATCTGCAACATGGAAATATGCTAGTTCAGAAAGAAAACTTTTCATGCTTTACAAACTGAGCAGACCTAATTCAAACTACTCCACAAAGACTCAACTTAGAACACTTGTTTCTACTAATAAGCACATGCTAAAAAAATCAACTCGCTTTAGCGCCATAATATGAGTAACTTTCCAATCACTGGGTACTTTGTGGTTCCCTACAACTGCAGCAGCACTAAGTCTCGACCCTACTCTTCAAGCTATTAATAGCTTAGGTCTCAGTCAGTGCTGTGCACAGTCAATGCAGAGCATACATGTATGTTCTCCTTTCAATGTAAATCCTGCACAAGTTCCTTACAGCTTTCAGTTAGATCAGTAATGCAATGCACAACCATCTTTTCCATCTACTTTTCCTTTTTAACTGAATTCATTTTTTTAACCGTTTACTTTCATGCCCTGAGCACCCACAGTAGTAGGAACAGCACTTAGTAGTTTTGTGATGGGTGAAAAATCGAGCAAAAATACAGCAGTCAATTACCTGGTGCAGCTTGACTGTCACTCCACTCACTGGTCACCAGAACCTCAATGATCTTGATGTGAGAATCCAGACTGGGTTCACAACTGTGAGGGGGACAAAAAAGCAAGGTAAACAAAGTTTGTTTCAGAGCCAAGGTGACAGTCACTGCTGCTCTGTGCGGTTTTCAATCAGATAGCAATTCAGGCTTAGCTACTTTAATTGTGCAGCACAGCTGGTAAGCAGAAAGGCTCCAACCTACATCCGTGTACAGCTAAAACACATGAATGTGTGATACACTGCAGTGCATGTCTTGCCATTTCTTGACTAAGCCTGCATGCTTATCTGTCTGCTGACTGAGTGCCTATCTTTTACAAACCAAAATATGCAGCATAAGCCTTACACTCCCAATACCCACCTGGTGGCCTGTTGTCTGAAAAACACAGGGCTGAAGATCTCGCCCAGCGATCTGGCACTGAGCAGGTTCTTGGGACCGTTTTGGCACACTCTAGCAAAATGCCTTAGCAGACAGTGGAGAGTCAGCCAGTACTGGGGAGGCCGGCCTGGGGCGCTGGCAAAGCGACGTAGTAGCTGGGCACATTCCTCAGGATTCACCACCTCTGTTGAAGATGAGAATAGCCAAAACGTTCAGGAAGACAGGAGATAAAGTGCCCTACTTTAAAGTCTTCTGCAGTTAAAAAGCAGCACAAAATGAAAGCTCTCTTTACACAGTAAAGAAATGGAAAAAGGAGTCATGTGCAATAAAGACTTGAAAACCACAGAGACACTGTGTGGTTGACAATGAGCATAAGGTACACTGGCAGGTGATTGGCTGCTCAGAGATGCTAGAGATAAACTTTCAGGCTTGTTTTAGTTCCTATTAACCGCAGATATCCTGTTTCTGGCCATGTGACAGCAAGAGAATGCAGCGCGGCATAACACTGAGAATTTCTTCTTTTCCCCTCTGCTTGCAACAGACAGCAAGACAAAGGTTAAGAAAATGTGCTAAAATACACAATTAGAAATAAATACATAGATTTATATTTCTTATTTTCTTAAAGGACCCATAGACGTTTTAGAAAATAAAAGCTAATTTTACACAAACAAAAAAAGAAAAAAAGAAAAAAAGAAGTCCTCAGACACAATGGGTACTGATGAGGTCTTGTGGTTTAGTGTTCATGAGTACATGATGTTCAGCAACAGGGCACGAGTACATTACGTAAGCACTTTAGGCCAACCTGTACAGTCAACAAATGACCACTGAAACTGTGAGGGAACCTTCTGTTCTCACCTTTAGCACTGTGAACCATCTGAGCATATATTGCAGTGGGGATGATGGGTTGGGGAAGATCCTGCAAGTACCTACGCAGACCGTCACACAGGACTGGAAGCTCCAGGTGATCCAAGTCTGCAGATGGGGGGTCTGAAATGCAGAACGGCACAAAGACGCACGCTTGAACTCACTTCAGTAAAGTGAAACGTAGGTTTAACTATAGCACAGACTCTTCTGGGCCAACAGACTGTTATGCACACACTTAGAAATCTTTTTTTATGCACCCCAATCATTTTTTCCACTCAGACTTCCTCTTCATATAGGCTTATAAAACACATGATAAAAAGAGCTACTTACCACAATCAAAATACTGCCTGACTTCAAGTCCAGCACCAGCGGTAAATGTTCTATATAATGTGGGGTTATCCAGACCTACAAAATAATTAATGAAACATACTGTAGAAACATAACATGCCAAATAAATGCCAACAAAAATATGAAATTGATTCAGTCAAGCTCACCTTTAATCTCAATTGCTTCCAGCAGTTTGATCAAAATGGGTGGAGCAATCTCTGGAAGGGAAAACTGCTCCGTCAAGTCGGGCAAGCAGAAACCTAAAGATTTTAAAAAAAATAAAATAAAATAAAATAATTTATCTTTTAAAATAAATAAAACAAGCAATTTCAGTTTGTGTAAACAGAGTGAAAATCCTCCCACCAAGGCTTAGTACAAATCCAGCGTCATACCTGTGAACCAAATTAATAAGTATGCTGGCACCACACAATTTGCTAATAACAGTTGAATAATTACATTTTAGCACCCCTGCCCTTCCCAAAACACAAAAGCCAGCAAAGCAAGAAGAGAAAATGTTTCTACATCCAACCTATGCTTTCCAAATCAAACAACAACACAATCACAACCAAGACAATCCAGTTGCCCTATGCTGTTGGCCGTTTACAAAACAGACACGGTTTCAAGGGGATTTCATTAAGCTCATTTCTTTGAGGTGAGTGCTGACAATGGCTGGTTTTACTTTCAAAACTGAGTCCCACACGGCAGAATTCAGTTACACCTTTTGGAGATTGTTCTATTTTTCACTCTTATGCTACTGTACCACAACGAATTCCCTTTGTAAGATCAAAAAAGTATCTATAGTTTATGTGTAACCACATAAAGATAACTGGCCAGTCAGTTAAATACAGTTAATCCTGTGATGACTGTTCGTGTGACCTTAAATGGTAAGGGGCTGCCATTCATCTGCACCAGCAAAGACAGATTAGATTCTTGACTCCTCAGAACTTCAAAGGAAGCAGGTACAAGACCAATGAAGTGGCTTCAAAAGTAAAATGTGAGTATTTATAAAAGGCTGTTTCAACAGGAGGTGCTGAGCACTGAAGCTAAGGTTTGGCAGACCAAGGAACTAAGCAAATATCCTGTGATATGAGGTAAGCCAGGTCTGACTTCTTTTTTTTTTTTAACTTATTTTTCCTTCAGAACTTTGCACCCAGGTGTGGACATGAAAGCAGGAGGGGAGTTGGCAAATCTAAATAAAATCTTCGCCAAGGCATATTTTGAAAAGGCTTTTTTCATGAAAGGCTCAACTGTTCAACATCAGGTCTGCAGTTTCAAAATGCTGCAAAACTATGAATGGGACCCTTTCTCTTAACATTTTTTTTTCTTTCCACCTAAAAGTGATTACTTTTTTGAATCAGGCATTAAAGGCCAAGTACTGGTGTGGCTAATACATAGACGCATAGGGGTTATTGAAAAGCTACCCTTTTGCATGAAAGAGGGTTCAGTCAGTTAAATAATAAATTCTGAACCACATTCTCTGGCTAGGGCAGGACCCAGGCTGCCTTGTTGTGTGTCAAGTACGTGTATTAGTAAAGCCTTTCAAACCAGAGAACACACAAAAATCCACTTTGGACAACTGGTCATCTGGAAGATGTTATTGGAAATACAAACTGAAAGGGAATGGAGGGGGGAGGAAGGTTTCTCAGAAGTTAGTGTTCCATCTCAGACTTTGCAAAGTTTCCTGAAATAGAGATCGAGACATGCAGTGCAGCCATCACACACCTTGGAAATGTAATCTTTCTCTCAGACAAGATATCCAACACGATCTTCCTTCTACAGCCAAAAGGTTTTCTGAGAAACCAAATTCACAACCTGAAGTTAAATTTAGAACACCGACCCACCCGCTGTCACAATGTTCAAAAAGCACATGACAGCACGATGCCTGGAATTTTTAAACAATAAATCACAAATATGTGTAAGGAACAAGCAAATTTTCACACATTTACTTAGACTAAAAAGCACTAAACACTTGAAAATGAATAATACATTGATATACAAACAGCTGCTCGTACTTCTGCACAGCTTGGAAACAAACCAAAAAACAAGGAGAATCTTCCAACTGATCCTCCAGCCTATTTATTCCTACCACAGTCAGCCTCTGAGGGACACGGGTCAGGAAGGATATAGAGTTGCTTCTTGGTACTGTCGACAATGTGATAGTTTCGGCACCAATGGAATTGTATCAAGTAGCCGAAGAAATATGGCGGAAATGCTACAAGGTATCAGTGATGATTTCTGAGATGCCTTGGCATGAGATCAAGGCTCAACGTGCCCATACAGGCCAAAACACAGAAACATAAAGGGGAAAGGAAAAGAAAGAAGAAGAAAAAAAAAAAAGCCCACCTCCAACCTATAATTGACGTGTTCATGGAAGGCAAATTAATTCTAGAAAAACTTTGTAAAAATTGGTAATGAGTAAAAATTGGCTACAGTAAAAGTTATCCATTTCTTTTCTACTGCACATAGGTATACCTAACTGTAATAATGGCACAAGATGAATGCAGGTTCTGCAAAACTCCTTACTGTAGCTTATGCAAACTGAATCTCCAACTCTCTCTGGAAAGGTAATTTTAATCCTATTAAACAAACAGGGCCCTCTATGTTTTACAGTAGCATTACTGCACTATTAACACAATGTGCTGGCATTTTTCTGCATTTACAACAGCTGACTGGCTACACTTCCTCAGACTCTCTCCAAGACTTGAATAGAAGCTGGTTTCTGTGGTAACTAGGGTATGGAGACAGAGGCCCCTTGGACGTGCCTCTACACGTCTGCATGTTTGGCAGACCTCATGATATCCCCCAAGGCCTCAGCCCGTCAGTAGTCAGTTAGACAACCGCAGGTTGAGGAAGTTGATGCAGCTGCCACTTGTTCTGCTGTGGTGTGGGGAACAATCTGTCCGGTTCAAACGGCACGTCTGAGCTGAAAGGACTGGGCAGAACAGAGCTGGGGCACTACCAGTGCACTAAAGATAGCGCTCACTTTGGATAAATTTAGAAGGCCTGCTCAGGCAACCAACGTTTTAAGCCTATACATTTCTTCTCGTCTGGAAAAAAGGTCTAGCCAAGGCACATTGGTGATAGATCACCACCTAACACATTTTAAAGTAAAAATTGTGCAAAATGTACAAAATAAATTCAAAGTTGTTTGTCTCTACAGTAGCATTTAGTAAGACTAGGTGCAGCTAGTTTATAGTATTACCAAAACCTAAAACCTTTGCAATGCCAAATTCTCTGGATTTTCTGTTGGCATGGGCAGCACTAACATGTCTGAGCATGACTGTGCTGAATAGTGAAGCCCTGAGCTGAATTAGGAAAAAGGGCAGGCAATGTCTCCTCCTGCAGGCTGGAAGATGAAGTGCAAAAGCAAAGTAACAGCCAATGAGGAGACTGTTGCTACAGCTTGGCAATTAACCCTATGAAGCACAGAGCATCAGTGAATCGCAAAAGTAACGCAAGCAGCCAGTTTCCTAATGTGAGATCAAATTTAAGAACCAATGAAGCCTCTCACATCATATTAAAATAAACCAACTCCAAATCTGATAACTTAAATGGCTTGAGCACAATTGTACAACCTGCACTACTGCCCCACTTTAAATTATAAAGTAAAAATGGATGATTAAACAATGTCTTCATTCAAAGATTAGCCACTTTCAATGTGAACTAGCTTGTAATAGTGCACGGATTTATTAAAACCACAGCTACAGTATATTATTTAATTTGAGAATATATTTAAGTTATCAAAAGGTCAAATCAAAACAGAACTAAAACTTTTTATTTTTGTTTGTTCTGATGCAAAAGCCAAATGTCACCAGGGACCATAACTATCATAATCAAATTATTTTTGTTGGTTGGCAAATGACTTATTCAAGAACTTCACCAAGTTGGCCTTGAGCGTTTCCAAGAAGAGGTCATCTTAGTCTTGCACCTCTAATAGTACGAAAGTGGGGCATATCATGATCGCTGCTTAACCGCAATAGTTTTGAGATATGCAACTGCAAAGGCTCTTTTTCTGATGACACATTAAGAGGCACAGGAGGGAAAACACAAATATAGCAATTCTTGCCTTAACAGAAGTGACCGGGACTTCTGATGCAAAACAATGCAAACAAACTTCCAGGACAGATATAACTGAATGGAGGAGATGATTTATTGTGTCCACTCCTTAATGCAATGCAACATCTCCAGTGCAGAAGAGCTGCCCGCACACCACACACACAACTTTCCTGGCACTAATGAAATTGTGTTACTCTCCAATCTCACCTTTGTTTAATTGCACCGAGTCTGTCTGTCTGCTTCTCCCTGCCTTATTTGCTTGCTCCATTTCTTAATCCTGCTAGCAGACATGCTCCGACTCCCGTAAAGAAGATTTGGCAATTCAGACTTCAGCCTCTGAACGGCCTCACGCAATAAAACAGTTATGCACACTTTGATGCACACAAGTCTCCCTTGCTTAAACACAGACTTTTTTTTTTTTTAATAAATCTGTTATTTTTTGAGTCCTAGTCTTTTTCCCTGTCATATACTGAGCAGCAGCAGAGTTGTCCCCTTAACTGTAGTGTCTATAACCTCAGTCTGACATTCTCTGAGGCAGACAGAAGGGAAAAAAAAATAAATGTCATGTCTGGCACATCCACAGAGATTAAGAACAGGTCTCTCTCC